GGGGGGGGGGGGGGGGGTACCTAGGTGTGCGGGAGAGCTTTTCCCGCACACCCTTGCAGCAGTAGCTATATCGTCTGCATGTACATAATGCCTAGAACAGTTCTTTTTGCTGCTTGGTCTTCTTCTCGGTCGTATGCATATGACTCTGCAGCATTTTGAAGTATGGTGCAACGTGACGCAGGTCGACTTCTTCCGAACGCCCGCCATGTGCAGCTAGCTGTGTGTGTGCGTTTTTCAAACGGGAAATGCATTGCCCGGATTTATCTGTATCTGACGGCTTTCGTTGGCTTCTTGTGTTTGTCCCACAGCAGCAGTCTTATCGTGACTTCGTGCACACAACAGCTACAGGGCACTCTTGGATACTGAAGTATGTATTCGCACCGAGATTGATTGTGGTCCTCATTTGATTGTCGATGTATAGTCTATAGTCCATGCCCGGAGCTGGCATACGCGGCGCACTGCCAGGCGACCCGGATTTCCTCCTTCGCAAGAAATTGAGTATATGAGAAATAGAAGAGAGGGTTATAACCCTAACCCTTACCCAGCTTACCCGATTGCATGCTTTATCCAACATGTTTACTGAAGAGAAAAACCCTGCGAAGGTTACTGTTCGATATTCATAATTTAATTCGATACGTGCGAAACAAAACAACAGAGAAAAAACAGAGGGCTGTTGTAGACTAGACTACTGTAGTCTACACCTCTTACAATACGACAACAACCAACCGAAATTCTCCGGGTCGTTGCACACGAGGTCAAACAGGACAAGCACATGACCAAGAAAGAGGGCAACGGCCATCTCCGGCGGTGATCGCGCAAGGGTCTCAGAAAATCGAGTCAATATCAACAATCGAGAGGCAACGTAAAGAACATATAGTTGATAGCCAGGGCTGCTGTGTTGCACCATCATACAGCAGTCAATCACATCATCTAACCTAAATGCGCACCAAAGGATGTTACAACACGACACATACAGCAGTAAAATGATGCAACCACGTAGCGCCTGCATTCCAATTTCGTGGCAGTTCGCTTGGGTACATGGAGAAAGAAAACAAATCACGGCCACATTGCTGCACTTGATGATGATGCCCCCCCGCCCACCCCACCAGCCCTCCATCCAAAAGACATTTGGACAGAGTAATTGTTCGTACGTCGTGCCGCAGCTAGTCAAAATTGGGCTTCTGGCACCACGTCAGGCGATACCGCGTCATCACCAGCCAAAACGCCGTTGGTCACATTCGACTAGGGGTTCTCCGGCCCCGCGTCGTTCTGTTCCGCTGCTCGTGGTTTCTGCCGCTTCCTGTAGGAGTGCCATGCATGGCGCTGGCAACAGATGGAGGTGGGATGGACGAGTATGGAGGATTGGGCTGTACCCTCCGTTGCCCCGGATGCAGGAGTATCCATCACAGGCTGGGACACACGCCCTCCCGTCCACTCTCGCGGATGCAGACGTCCGACCCAGATGTAACGACATCTTCTGTAGCCGCAAGCGAGCTAGCACTTTCTCCCGTTGCCGCTGCATGTTCTGCACGCATGAGGTAGAGTCGCCTCCGGCTTGCAACCGTACGTCAGCATGGCTGTATTTCTGTTGGATCGACGTAACGATGTTCAGACAGCCACAGCACGCAGTCCTGTGCAGCGAGATCGTCCGCGTTGCTCCACGCTTCCGGCTGGATTGACGCCCCACCCATACCGTTAAACTCTGTATCCAGCACCGTCTCTTGGAGGCCATCCCGCAAGTGCCCCATGACCCCGTTGTCCTGCAGGCTCTGACCACACATCGACATGCTACTCGTCGTCCTCGTGCGACAAGGTTTCACCCTCAACATCCATGTGATACCACCTCTTGTTGCTGCTGCCCAATTTCCAGTGCCCGCAATGACCGCAAGCGCGTGGCTCTTTCATACAGTCTTCCAAAAGTGCGAACAGTCCGGACGTTAACAGAGGCTGTCGCTGCAGGGTCGTACTAAGGGTTCGCAACAGAGTCGAGGGCAGACTTCCCCATTCTTTGCCCCACACGACCACGAAGGCAATTGCTCGCAGTAACGGGTCCCAAGCGGAGGTGCGTGAAACTGTTGTCACCCAAAGACCTGTGGCATGTATAGAACATGGGGCCTCGTCGGCCAACCGCATGCGTCTGCATGATTCTCTTCGTTCATATACTGCTGAGAAGGCTTCGGGCTGCAGGTAACACCACCGAGCAGAACGTCTCCCATCCGCGTTCCGCTTGCTGGGTGAAGAACTGCAGCTTTCCAAGCTCTCCACCGTCACTCCTACGCCGACAATCAAGCGTGCGCATGCTCCCAGTCTCCGACTCTCGCCGTTGATTTTCGGCAATCTCGCGATCTCTACTGGGCCACCGCGTGGCTCATCGCCTCACCGTGCAGCTTGTGGTAATCCTCATCTGTGGTCTTTCCTTCAAAATCGGGGAGAGCCTCCCCAACACTAATGGAGGGCGTTCCCCTTCGTTTCCTGCCCAACCCCGCCCTTCCTCCCGTCCGCCGAACACGTAGACCGGGATCTCTCGAACAGCGGTTTGTAGTGACGATTGGCGCAGGCACCTCGGTGCCTCCGGTCTACCACGGCCTCTGCCTTCTTCCTGAACCGTTGACGTGCCTCCGTGACGACTCTTCGCCTGCTCTCCATCACCGGAGTACATGGAGCTCGCGAAGATCACAGATGAGCAGGAAGCTGGCGTTGAAGCTCCGCTGCGGGGCGTGCCGGGGGCTTCCAGGCGGTTGCCGACGCCACACCGGTGGCGTAACCAACTGCGCTGAGCTGGCAGGCTGTTCACCCCACGAACCCCCCATTCCCCACTGATTCCCTGCGGCTCAGCGGGCTGTAGTTCGATCTATGACGCTAAGCACCCGTTCCATAGGAACCCTGAGAAAGGCAGCACGAAAAAATGATTGAAACAACGGTTAGTCTACACGCCGTACAGGTCGCACAAAGCGAATATTGCGTACTGTGAGCTCCTCAACTGAAGCTTGACATCTACGACAGCGTGATGAATACTGAAAGTTTGCACGACCATACGTTCATCTGAGAGCCGGACGGACTGACAAAAGCATTACGTAGAAGACATCCCTGTCTCTGGAACGTTTGGTTTTACTTTTCACTACTGTATAGCTTGTAGAGTTCAGCTGGCTCACCGAGGGAGGGGGGGCACAGCACTGCAAAAAAATATAATATTGAACATGAATGTTAGTATACTTGCCCTTCCGGCTATCGAATTGCCTGAAACTTTCCACGACAGCCAAGAACCACAGCTTGTCACATGAATTCGGAACTTCTCAGAATATCCTGAGAGAGGATGGCGTGCACAGCGGAGCGGACGTCTGATTGCAACATGCCGGGAGATGAACTTTGACCACCCCATGATTGATTTTGCACGTTGTACCGTCTCAGAAAGCTTCAGTGACAGGTGGAAAATGAAAATTGAACACAACGGCTGCTACCAGCGACAGCAGGCTGTAACACACCAGCGTCGCGTTTGAGGCTGGGACGCTCTAAGCTCGCTACATGCATTCGCTACCTGGGAGCTGTGTCATGATTGACTGGGTTATAGACTAACCTCTCACTCGGTAAGTTCCGATTTATCCACTCTCCACCCTGTACCATGCGCAATGCAATGTTGACCAACCCTGTCAAGCCCCGGTCAAGCCCCGGCATCCTTATTACACACCTTTCTGGGAAAACGGACGGCTTCAGCTCTCCTTCGCCCTCGATCGCCGGAGCTAGACGTCAAGGTTTGTTGTCGGTTGTCGGTTAGCTATCTACGATCCTACATTCCTGCAGCAGTAATTCCGCCGCCTTGTCACCGGGTTTCCAGTGGGAAGCGTTCTTTGGATCACAAACTATTTTTTTTCCTCCGCCGCCTAGCTAGGTTGGCGTGACTCGCTGGCTGCTTCGTTTCCCGAGTCGTCGGTCAGAGGGGTCTGACACGGCCTTGATCTTCTCTCGGGGTATGAATCGCTATGCGCTGACGAAGAAGCTGGGTGACGGCACTTATGGGTCAGTGGTGAAGGCGGTGAACAGACAAACCGGCGAAGAGGTCGCCGTGAAAAAGATGAAGAAGTTGTTTACGAGGTAAGGTAGCTGTATAGACTACATGTGTCGTCTGAAGTGTCCTGTGTGTTGTATGATTGGTATGTGCGTGTTTGTGCGGAAGGTTGTTTGTTGTTCCTTTTCATGGGACGTTCGCAGCGTTTGTGGAGGACATAGCTTATGGATATATCATAGGGCGGCATCGTGCTCGAGCCATATGCAATCCCTCGGGTCTGCCCCGCGATACATGTATCTACAGCAGTAGCTTCTTGTTGTTGTTGTGGTTTCTCCGCACGTCGTTGTTGCTTTCTCATTACGAGGCAACGAAAACGGAAGGGAAAAGCCGGTGATTGTTAGACGTTAGACAGGTGCATTGGATCCATGCGTTACTAAGCCGATACGTTACTGAGCCGAGTGCATGCTGGCTGGCCGTTGGGGGTCGTCATGGTGTATTGCCGTCCATGTACTGTAGCAATTGGTCGTGATTTGGTCTGTGCGCAGCAAGAACAACACCCTCTTAACACATTCTCATGCTACCACTGCACCCTAGTCTGTAGTCTACACATGGTAGGCATGCCCTGTACTCGAATGAGTAGCACCGAGAGGTACAAAGCGGCCATGGGAGGCGTGAGCTACATGTACAGCCGGCCGCTTGTTGCCAACCGCAATGCCGAAAGTCAATTGTGCATCAGGAAAGTATGTACTTCGAAACGTGTTGCTTTTGAGATGTGTTGTCGAGATACTGCAAGTTCAACCTTGTGAACGATGTATAGCAGCAGTGCATGGAAGCTGATGTCTAGATCATGGATCCGGAACCCATACACGGAAGGACTCCTACATTGAAAATCTCCTGGCGTATGCATATGTCGATGAAATGTCAAAGGCATGAGTTTGAAATCTAGTAGTGAGGTCAAGCTAGAGGATGCTACAGGGACTTGGCCAGTCCACGCTGCTGTTTGTCAGATCAGGGAGCCGATCTTCGGCTTGTGCATTCAGGATTGTCTCCTGCAATATGAAGTTCACTGCCGGGGCAGCAAAGTGTCAGGATAACGACGGACCATCGTTAGTTAGTTCTGCTCAAGGATTCGTCCCCAAACGAAGGTGTTTCCGGCATTTCTACAGTACTACGGCGGTTGTTTTGCAGTTGTCTTGAGGTGAAAAAACTATCCCGATCTCTTGTACAGATTCGGAGACGTGTGGGCGTACTACTCTTGGCCGCAACTTAATGGCGACTGAACTCAACATGTCGCTCACGGGACTGGGGAATCGCCTACGTACCTAGTGATGTCGAAGGAGAGGGTTGTTGTTGTCGAGGAGAGCTGGTCCACAAACGAAATGAAAAATAGTGGTCAAAGGAACAGTCAGTCGTGTGCATGCTGCCGTGTTGCGGGGCTGCGGGTCTTGTCTTGCGGCCGTATCCTACGCTACCGTTGGCCTTGGCGCTGGAATTTTTCCCTTCCTTGTGAAATCGTTGTCTTTTCCTCCATTACACATATTGAGTAGGGCGTCCAGCATGTGCAAGCACACCGCACGGAGACTTTGTAGCCGGACTCCTGCCTGCATATGAGGTCAAAGTTCCCCCCAACGCGTGTTCACCACGGCCTCGCCACTCAAGACGTTCTTCTTGTGGTTGTCTTTTGCGCGTTTACCGCTGTACAGCTGGGAAGAGTGCATGCAACTTCGAGAAGTGAAGTCCTTGAAGAAGCTGACCCACCCCAACATCGTCAAGCTGAAGGAGGTTATCCGAGAGAACGACGAGCTATTCTTCGTGTTCGAGTTCATGGAAGGAAACCTCTTCGAGCTCATGCAGGACGTGAGCACGCTACAACAGAAGAAGACCCCCCGAGAGTACATCAACACCTTATCCTGACCATTGACCCAACCCGGAAACAAACGTTATTGAGTGCTATGTACCAACCAGCAATGATGTTGTTGCTCATGCCCGTGCCGAAGTTTGATGGAAAGACGCTCGCATCGTGCCACTCAATGCATATCAGAGAGACGCCGCCTGCAAGCTGTGCCCTGGTGCCTTTTTCTTGTCCAGTTTTGAAACAATCAAAGGGGACAAGTTTTATTGATTAAAAGGGTGCAGAAACGCACGTGGAAGGACGATTCGATTGCGTTGACAGTGGAGTTTGGGCAGCCGACAAGTAAAACTGGAATGTGTTACGGCAATGACGTGGTTCTATACCGTGTGCTTCAACCGCTTGTTTCCTGGCACAGCGGTGGATGCACAGGTAGGCAAGCGATGTGCCGTTTACGGCAGGCAGCAGTGCGCACAACGGTGTGCTTCCATCGCCGTTTGACTCCCATGTATGTCTCGCAATGTTAATGTTTTCTCCAGCGAGGTCGAAGTTTCCCGGAGCCCAAGATCCGCAACATCATGTTCCAGATGATGCAGGCGATCGCCTTCATGCACAAGCACGGCTTCTTCCACCGTGACATCAAGCCGGAGAACACGCTCATCAAGGCAAGGGAACAAACAAACAACTGGTTCCTTGCAACAAGCGCGTGAAGAATGTGCTGTTTCACGATATAACGCGCAAGAGATGCTGCTGCGCTGAGCACGACCACCCCTGTTCCCCAGGCACCCTTCTACTGCCACTGTCTGCGAGCACCACCAAATACGTATGGTTTCTGGATGCGAGTTCGAAGCGCGCTGCGGTAGAGGCGACACTTTCCCAAAAAAAATACGTGTGCGCCAAAAATACAACGTGCAGAAACAATCAGTTATGGCCAGCTAACGGTCACTTGCAATCTCACAAGGAGAGAAGAGGCCTACACTACTTTTTGTGCCAACCACATCAAGTCCTTACCTGCAACGGAAAACCTTCCACCGGGCCTCGTGGCTCGGCGCTTTGCTACAGTGACACCACACCTTGGACAGACACCCAGAGAGTCTCAACCCACCTTGTTTCCAACCAGCGTTTCGCCACCGCTGCTGTCTTTTCCATTAAAAACGCCGCGTGTTCTCTCAGGGCGACACCGTCAAGGTGGCCGACTTCGGCCTGGCGCGAGAAACCCGCTCGCGCCCCCCCTACACAGAGTACGTGTCGACGAGGTGGTACCGGGCGCCGGAGGTCCTCATGCGGTCCACGCACTACAACTCGCCTATAGACACGTGGGCGTGCGGGTGCATCATGGCGGAGCTCTTTGCCCTGGGAGCCCTGTTCCCGGGCACGAGCGAGGCCGACCAGGTGTACAAGATCTGCTCCGTGTTGGGAACGCCGACCGCGGAGACGTGGCCCGAGGGCCTCAAGCTGGCGGCGCAGATGCAGTTCCGGTACCCCCCCTTCGTGCCAACCCCCTTGGCGCAGCTCATCCCCAACGCTAGCTACGAGGCCCTGGCCCTGCTCTCGGACCTCATCCAGTTCGACCCTTACCGGCGACCGACCGCCAGCCAGGCGTTACAGTACGCCTTTTTTCAGGCGAACTCCACGCTGGCGCCGGCCAAGGCGGGCGGCGGGGCCGGCGGGGCCCTCCAGCAGCAGCAGGGGCTTCAAGGGACGGGGGGAGCGGACGCGGCGCAGAACCTCATCCGACAGCCGAGCTACGCCAGCGCGTACCAGGGCGTGGGGGCAGGTTTCGCCAAGGTAAGGAGTACGCATAGTACGTTGAAACTTGTGATGAAAACGGACCGTCGAGCGGCCTTCGGTTTGGGTGTATGATGTTCTACTCGGAGCATGGCTTTTTTGGTCAGAGGTCACTGACCTGTGATGTCGTGGCCTGCGGAAGGTGTGCCCAGTCGAGGGAAGGACTAGAACGCATGTTGCGCTGATCACTCTCAAAAACTTGTCTGCCGTTGCCTCTTTCGTGGGCTTCTAACGTTTTCGAGCACTTGTACATACCGCAGAGTACCCTTAAGGAATTGTTGAAAGAACACTCCCTGATTCGGGCAGCGTCCTGACACTTCGAAGTACTTGGTAGCGAGTCGTTCAACCGTCTGTGTTGGCTATGGTGTATTTAGCTTCCGATCACTTCGACAATACCGTCGGTAGAAATAGAAAAGCCGGCCACACCTGTGTCGCAAACCGCCCTATGATTGTATCTGGGTTGTCAAGCTGTGAGTTTGTGTTGGAGTATTTTCTCCCCAGCACACACATCGCACCTCGGTGTGCATGAAAGACCGACTAGAAGACCAAGAAGACCAAACGCCGTGCAACGACTATGAGCATGTCTGGCACCTTGATATATACTTCTCCTTTGATGCTCCATACAACCGTTGCTCAAGCCGAGAGTTTGATCCATCCGCCCTTGAGGATCTCCTGCGCGGAAAGCAAAAGCACCTTACTTTTCGTTTCGCTGATCGAATCAGGTGGCAATTATCTCGTTCTGCTTCTCCCCATTTTCACTCTAGATGTCAGCGCACGTGCTACTATAATACTAACTAGGCTCCTACGCGAACGTCATCACCGCCCCCCCCGCCCCCCCCGCCCCCCCTCGCCCTGCATTGTTGTTTGTCCCTCGTTCCCTTCTATCTATCTATATATCTCCCTACGACCATGCATGAACGACTCTCGCGCGCGAGATAGGCACCACGGGTATCAGGAGGAGGAGGTGGAGCGGAAGGTTTGGGCGTGGCGCGCTCGGGGGGTAGATCAGGGCAGGGGTCGGGGAAAGGGTTCGGATCGGGAGGCACACACTCATTGGGGAGTTGGAGAGGGGGAGGGGGCTCCGGAGCAATAGCGGCACCTTCGGCAGCAGCAAGAGCCGCTGGCGCCTCAGGGAGCAGTCAGACGGAAGCGCGCGACGCTGGCGGGTATGGGCCCAGAGCCCTCAACGCCGGGTCGAGCGGGGCGAGCTCGGGAATGATGGGGAGAGGCTCGGGGGCTAGCGCAGGGGTTGCGGGGAGGAGAATCTCGTCGGGCCTTGGAAACGTCGAGGTTTCCAACAGTGCCGGGCGCGTGGCTGGGGGGGGCGGGGACAGCGGCAGCGGATCTAAGCTCCGCAGCGGCCGCTACACTCGGTTAGCGAGGTACGGTCCGGCGCTTGGCTCTAGCCAGGCTCAGGGATCAGCCTCGAAGCAGTACAAAGCGCCGCAGGCACGGGCGTACAACCTGCGCTCGGGAGCGGCGCAGTTCAGCGCGGCCGCTATGGGTCTTGGGGGGAGCCGTGATGTCGGGGGTGGCGGGGGCGGGAGTGAGGGTGGTGGTTTTGGCGCGGGGAGTGCTGGCACTAGCGGTCTGACAGCACAGCGAGCAGGCTTGGGAGGTGTGGCGGCGGCAAAGCCGCCATATGCGGTTGTGCCCGGGGGGAGCGGTGGGGTAGTGCCGTCGTACGGAGGCCGAAGAGGATCAAACACGACGACAGTCGGTGTCGGAGGGGGCAGTTCAGGAGGGTATGGAGGGGGGGGCGGGGTTGGTTTCGGGCGGCATAAATACGGCTGAACGTTCTTGCGATGTACTTTGTTATTTTTCACGTGTTTTTTGGCTCGGAAAGCGCGTGACTAGTTGCTTTACACTCGTTACTTGCACATTAGTGTGTCTTGCACAACTTCATATTTTTCCCAGTGCGTGGCACGCCGTTTTGAGAGATGTATGCATACAAATAGGATATAGATGAAGCGGAAGGAAATATTGTAAAAAATCGTACACAAGACTATAAATTCTCCCTCCACAGGAGCGGTGATTTCCCGTTTATTGGTTCTCTCTTTGTACTCTGTCTACCCCGGGAGATAATCTGAAACGTTCTACAATACTGACGTACCTTCCTTCCCTCGGGCATTTTTTTGCTTCTCTGGATTTTCCTACGAAATATGCACTACAGTACCTACACATTTTGTTGTAGGGGGCAGAGGAATCTAAGCCTCAATCAACAACACTAGATACGGCTGTTGTGTTTCTGGTGAGCATGTGTAGCCCGAGCGTAGGAGTATTTGGATCTGGCGGCAAGAAAAGGCTGCGGAATCAATCACAGTGAGCGCATAGATGACATCAATTTTGGCAAGGAGCAAGGAGAGCAATGAGGTGGATGTGACGCGTTTGGGAGGCGTCCTTTCTGTGTGTGCGCCAACCGGCCGACCCGAGCAGAACCCACTGATGATGTATCTAGCGGTCCTTTCTTTTTCCGGCAAGGACATCAGAGTATCTCTAACATATGCAGCTCCCCATCTCCTCTGATCGCATTCATCCGGATCCGGGAGGGACTTTCCGCGGAAGGGAGCGATCGAATTTCGTTCCCAGCCATATTTCCGCACCAAGAGGTCCACACCGGTGGATACAAAAGTAATTCGACATGGGGATTACAGTTAGTTGCGTTGTTCTGTAGGAGCTTCCCCCTATCGCGCCTACTCTCCGGGTGATGTGCTGTATTTCACCCTTTTCTCAGCAGTAAGATATCCACATTCGTCGACCAACCGCAGAGACAAAGATGCAGTCCACATGCGTCGACCAACAACCGCACGTGAGAAAGATCTAGAGCTATCGGAGATCCAGACAGTACGGTACACACGCATACCTCCATTCTGCGACGCCCCCTCGTGTGTCCTTTGTTGTGCCGCGGCCGACCTTGCACACAGCAAACACCCGCTCTGTCCTTGCCCCGCGCAGGAGGAGGACAGTATGGCAGACTATAGTACAGTGAGGCATCATGTTGGGGTCATCCGGTGAGCTCTATTGCAACAGTCTTTGCGGATATTGGCATTGTGAACCCTTTCAAAACATGCATCATGTCTAGCCTCGTGCGCGCACCTGAACGTGTTTCCTCCGCTTCAGATACGGCGGTGTGAATGTGTCTACAACGCACTACAATGTGAATGGTAGCTCGATAACCTGTACGCCCTGCCTCCATAACCGTTTTTTCCTCCGTAGGCTGTGCAAGCCTCCGCTCAATCCCTTGAGTCACGACGTGCGCGCCGGTATACTTGAGGGGCTCAAGCTTGCGCAGGATGATGAGGCGGTGTCGCTGATCGTCATCACCGGGGGAGACAAGGCCTTCAGTGCAGGAGCTGACATCAAGGAGATGGCCTCTGCGCACGCCGTGCGCCGTGAGCCTGACCTGCTCACCGTCGTTGGTGCAATCGAGGCGTGCAGGGTGCCGGTTGTTGCGGCTATTGGCGGCGTAGCTCTCGGAGGCGGTTGTGAGGTGAGGTAAGGGAATAACGTGCGTGCCCAGACCCGGCTTCTCTCAGAGAAAGCTCATTCTGCCCCAACTTCCTTTCCGTATGCATGTTGTAGGGGTGTGGTAGGCATACGTTGTTGTGCGAATGCATATATGTGCAAATCACTTCGTTTTGATCGAATCAATAACCCGTCCTGAGATTCTGTCGAGTATTTCAAACCATCTCTATTCCTGCCGTCTCCTGAGTGACGCGTGTAAGCTACCTCATACAGGTACAGTTTATACTGTTGAGTAGCTTTGTGCGTGTGTGCCTCGGCGCGGGGTCCCGTGG